GGAGATCATCTATGAGACATTTCTTCACTTGTGGATGCCACTTGATCCTTGATGGAGCTTCTTAATCCATCTTCTTTCTCGTCCTAATCTCACAATTGAAGTTAGTTGATTTTGTCTTGCCTTGGCTTGACCTTCGTTTAGGAGCTTCTTCTAGAGACTTAGGAGTGAGAGTCGATGGATTGTTGGAGATCAGACATGGTCTTTATAGTTGGAGTTTGGTTGAGGTGATTTAGAGATGGGTCAAAATACTAGATGGGGTCTCCCTTTTTACCTTGAGCAGTTGAAAAAAGAGGTGAAACCCAAGAGTAGGTGGGCCAAAGCTGATGATAAGGAGAGCATTCTGGAGTTCACCTAGGCCTAGGGTTTCAAATAGAGGGGCGGTATTTGGGTTTTGGGTTGCATAAGGGGATTTCTGCAAATTTTTATTTGGAACGACACTCAGGTTGTGACACATTCAAACGTTATTTATATGTTCGTTTAGGCTAACAACGAATTGTCCAACCAGATTCAAGTTCTAGTCTTTGACATGGGTTGTGCACTTTTTAAGATTTATTCTACTAACTATCTTGCATGTGTTCATGGGCAGAGTATTTGTGTGTATATGACCATCGAGATCTATTTTGTGTTTCATAAAAAATGTTTTTCACAAACTTAGGTCCCCTTTGGATCCATCCAACTAACTATTAGCTATGTTAGCTAAGAGAAACCAGCTAATAGCTAACTGTTAGCTGAATGGTAGGTAAGAAATTAGGTGGCTTATTAGCTTAGGATACAAACAAGATAGCTTAGGACACAAACAAGACCTCAATTAATTTTTAGTAGCGGGGGATTCCATTTAATTCAAATTAGTCTAGAACAATTTATGTACACTTGATCTAAATCCTTCATTTTTTTAAAAGGAATCACCCAATGCAAATAAATCCAGATTTCAACCATGTTAGTGCTTGTAGAGTAACTTAGGTATATGTTTATCGAGCATGTTTATGAATCGTGAGAGAAACACGTTGACATTTATATATTGTGTGGTCAAGTTTCCAGTGTCTTACGTGAATAATACTAGTGCACTTTGTAAGAGTAACATTTTGTCCTTGGTTTGTCTTAACTTGTAAAGAAAGGAGAAGTCATCTGTCGAAGTCCAGCACCAAAGCGATAAATGCTCCATTGATACATTGGATAATATGCAATGCGTTAGTGACATGTACCCCAGTTTAAAAATAAACACGGCTGCATATTATTACTGATATATACAATGAAACTATAGTTTGAGGCTGCTCCGTCGTGATGAAAAAAAACTAAAAGGCCATCTCAATACTTTAGATGGCACTTAACCATGTCATAAACAAGCAAACACCATCGAAATGTAGCTTAATACGGGATGATGTATCACGTGTCTACCCTTGGAATATCCCCCTAGGAATCTCCATGGGGATGATGCCAGCTAGCGACCACGCCTCGCAAGGCTTAATTGGCGGCAAGAGATGGACGCTCAGAGCATTTCTAGCAAGGCCCTTATTCATGCCTCTATTCTATATTTATTTAAGGGTTGCTACACAAACAATCTACTTCAGCAGAGGCCTTCCAAAGTAGGAGGTTCTCAAATTCCCTCCTCAAACCCTCATTCCAAGGGCTCTAGCCCAGACCCCTACTTTTCTAATTCTAGTTGCTCCTCTCTTGTTCTCGTCCGGTATTGCACGCTCTCTTCTATTGCTCATGCTTCATCGTCGTTGCTTTTCTGTTGTGCCCACCAACCATATTTGGCACCACTGGTCCCCCGACTACCCTCTTGCTCGGGTTCTCCCATCCCCTCTCACCCTCCTGCCTAGACTTCCTCCGTTGCCTCCCTCCACTGGCAACGCCAACCTCCACCGCCCATGTTGGTTCCGCGCAACTGCTTTTTTTCCATCCCTACCGACCTTCACCACCTGCTACCGTTCCATGCATCTAAGCTCCACATCGGTTGCCTAGCGATGACAAGGAGGGGAGGGTACTGCTACTGACTCAGAGGAAGGGAGGGCACAAAACCACTTATGTCGGTGCACATGAATAAGGAAGTGGCGCAGGAGCTGGGCCTCATGGTTGTTGGTCTGAGGAGGGCAAAGCTACATTATGGTCGCCAGTGTGGAGGAGGAGGGAGGTGATGGTGGGGCCACCGGTGTGGGGGAGAGTGCCATGTCCAGCGGTTAGGGTAGGAGAATGAGAAGAGTATGACTGTAGGAGAAGGCATGGCATATACGAATAAGGGCTGCAATTTGGGGACCGTTACTGGAGTTAGAGCAATTATTTGAGGGTCACAAAAGTAGGGGAAGCCCCTAGATCAAAGTAGGGACCTTGATTTGGGGAATTTTGCCACTGGTGCTCTTAGGGGTCTCTAAATGGGCCACCTAGCATGGCTATGCCACACATGTCCAACTACCCCTATCTTTGTGGGGATGCTAATGGATGGATCTACCCTCATTATATCCGTATCTCTCTCCATTTTTCCTGCACATTTTTGTCAGATTGTTAAGGTAGTAGTGGAAGGTGATATGGGGGCTCAACAAGACTTTGTTGGGGTATTGTTGTACATGCTTATAGGGTATTAAGTGTTCGAAACATGGGACCATTTGACTATTGTAGAGGAACATGAGTTTGTCCACATTATGGTGGCAAAGATGACACTATACCGTTAAATATATACTATGGTCAAGGTCAATATATACCAGTACAATGAGGATTATATTTTTTGTCGTGTTGCATGATGTCTCTACACCATAAAGATATACTATGGTGAAGGTTAGTACATACCAGTACAATGAAGACTACGTTTGTTGTCGTGTTGCATGATATCTCTAAACTCCTTAGTAGAGCGGTTCTATGAAACTCCATGGTTTATTTAAGAAATTAAATTAGCTAACATTAGTTATGTTGCATGATTATTATTCATACTTCACTTGTGTAGTTTGTAATGTTCAAACAGTTTTTTAATTCAATTCCATTTAACAAGGTTATTCATTTAGGTGCCTTAGTGATGTATTGGCATGTGACATAGTTATAATTTATTCGGAGATCATCTTTGTGAGTAGCAGAATGCTATTGGCCATGCTGGAACATGTTCCAATCTTGTGTGTCTAGGCTCAAAAACCGAAGATGGAAACATATGTTCTTGGGGTAGTGTAGTTACTTAGGCCTCTCATGGGAATCCATAATGCCGCTTGCCGCCTATCTCTTTGTCTTTGTTTTCGAATAACTCTTGTTCTAGTAGATTCTTTTACTTGCCAACATACCAAGAAGTTGTTACTAGACAGAGATAATAAGGATGTGCACAATAGAGAGACATCCACATATGTAGAAATATTATCTATCTTGGAATAATAAGATCACAAGCATTCATGCTGACCATTGAAGATGTCGGTGACTCTTACAAATAAATGACGCGCGTAAAAAATATTTGCATATATATATCTTGAAGGTATCAACATCTCTTTAGGTGTAAAGTTTTCAAAAGTTTGACGGACACACTTGTGCTGACCATGATAGATGTCTATCATAAGCCATGCATACGTGTGGATGCATATCTCTAGAAGTTCGGTGCACCCTCCTTTTATTTTATTTGAACCTTTTCTGGTTCATGAAGATGCCGTGACGTCAAGTAGAGAGTCATTGACAGAGGAAAACACGTATTAAAGCATACTCGCCAGAAAGATGATATAAAATATTTAAATTCGTATTAGAAGCCAATGAAGCGCTGACCTGACCATAAATCTTGTAGATATTAGATTATCTATGGTCTATCTATAGCCGGCATGATGTGTGAATGGTGAGTCTCATGCAATGTCGTGCACGTCAACGATGATGACAAATTAAACTCGGTCAAACAAAGATGAAAGTTTAATTTTTTAGATAAGTACATAGACTATACTCTAAATACAGTAGAGTTCATACAAAACATTTGTATTTGTATTGTAAGAACGAGTAGACCACCTCTAATCTTTCTAAAAAAATTACCTAATATTTTGTGATATAAAATATCAAAATCCGTATCGGAAGGCAATGACGTAACTGAAGCGCTGACCTGACCATAGATCCTGTAGATATTAGATTATCTATGGTCTATCTATAGCCGGCATGCTACGTGAATGGTGAGTCACGTGTATTACCGTGACGCCAACGATGACGACAAACTAAACACAATCAAACAAAGATAAAAACTTAATTTTTTAGATAGGTACATAAACTATACTATAAATATAGTAGAATTCATACAAAACATTTGTATTTGTATTGTAAGAACGAGCAAACAATCTCTAATCTTTCTAAAAAAAATTACCAAATAACCAAATATAGTTGTGCTTTGTCACCTGAGATCAACATGGACTAGGAGAGAGAAAAGGAGAAATCCCACTGAAAAACCCAAAAAGACCGAGGGAAAACAGAAAAACCCCTAAACTCCAATGCCCTGTTCGCTTGACTGATAAGCCATGGCTGAAAGTACTATTGGTTAATTTGTTGTGAGAGAAAAATACTATTTATAGACTGAAAAAGTACAGCTTAGAAGTCCCCAAACGAATAGGACGAAGACGAAAACCCATCCTGCAACTCAAATAACCCCACAGGGAAAAAAAAGAGAGGCCTGTTTTTCACTTTGGACCCCGAAACATGCGCGGCCTCTCAAGGCCACCCCTCCCACCCACTATTTCTTCCCCTCGCTCCCACTCCTCCCCTTTCTTCTTCTTCTTCCCTTCCTTCCTTCTCTCCTCCTCCTCCGTGAGGGCTGAGGATATCCTTCAACCCATCCACCTCACGAGGAATCCGCACTTGCTTTTGCTCCGCAATTTATTGCTCAGGGTTCTTGCTGGGTGGTGGCGGCGGGTGGTGCAAGCAGTAGTTCACAAGAGCAAGCTGTTCTTGTGTGCGTGGTTCTATGCCTGCTTGCTTGGCGAGGGGAGGAGGAGGCGCCGGAGTAGTGGGAGTTGAGGGGTGCAGGTACCGGCATTGCTGAGGCGGCGCGGAGAGATCCGGCGATGTCGGAGGCCGACCGGATACGCCACCGCACGGCGGCGCTGGCGCTGCACGACGATGAGGTAAGAGACAAGCCGGACGCCAAGGCGAACGTCTTCGCGGATCTCGGCTCGCCGGTGTCGCCGCTGCGGGCGCGGGCGAGCGTGGCGACGTCGTCGTCCTCGTCCTCCGGGTCAGCCAAGTCGCCGGCGCCGTCGAATGCTGGGATGGCAGGCGGGAGGAGCCACTCCGGCGAGCTGGTGGGCGAGTGCAACCTGCCGCGGCTGATGGCGCACCGGCGGTCCGGATCTGGACAGTTGATATTCTCTGGCAGCAGCAGCCGGGGGAGCGGCGGCGGGGACCGTGGAAGCACGGCGAGCTCGCCGATGCTGAATGCGCTCCCCACCGGGAACATCTGCCCGTCCGGGCGTGTCCCGGCAACGGCGGCCACGCCCCCTCCCCCGCGCTCCCGCCCGGACGTGCTCGGATCCGGCACCGGCCACTACGGCCACGGGAGCATCATGCGCGGCGCAGGCATGGCCCCCGCCAGGAGCAGCATTGACTCCTCGTCGTTCCTCGGGCACTCCTCGAGGTCGCCGGCGAGCTTTCCGGCGAGCAGTGGGAGCCTCCAGGAGGTGACCCGCTTGGGGAACGAGTGGTACAAAAAGGGAAAGTACGCGGAGGCGCTGCGCCACTACGAGCGCGCCGTGGCGCTGTGTCCCGAGAGCGCTGCATGCCGCGGCAACCGAGCCACCGCGCTCATAGGACTCGGCCGCCTTGCCGACGCGCTTCGTGAATGCGAGGAGGCTGTCCGACTCGACCCGGTCAGCGGCCGCTCCCACAGCCGCGTCGCAGGCGTTTGCCTCCGGTGAGCTTACTGCAGTCTTCCTACCTCCACCATTGCGCTGCAAGCTGTACTAGATTTTAGAACTGATGTGCATCAAGGTCCCTAGCTCTTGCTTCGATTTTGTTCCTCATGGTTGCATCTGCATGTTGATGTTGCTTTCTTGGATGGCTTTCTGTGTGAGCGAGACCGAGGAGAAAGCAACATGAGTGTTGTGCCTTTTCACCTTTTCCTTTCCATTGAGGCAGTGAGATTTAGTTCTGCGATTGCTCCATCTTCACACTCAATATTCATTTTATTCGCATCCTCAGGATGCTAGATATTGATCTTTTTTGCAATTCAAAATGAATTTTTTTTTCTGATTATCTGTATGTAAGTAAAGCTATAATATTGTCTTGCTTTGATTGTGGGTAAAATTGGCGTTAAAGCTTCCCATCACATAACGCTGACAGAAGGGGTGTCTGCTTAGCTCTACTTTGTAAGGTTGCTTGATGACGATTTCGTTAGGTTCATTGGATTTAGACCACACAATGCTGATTGCATACTGAATTTCTGTTCCTAATATTGTTTATACTGTATATTGTCCTGACTCTCCCCTGGAATTAGGTGTCGAAGACTGATGACATGCTGCAATTATTTGCATTTCTGCTGTTTCATTCTGCTGATATGCTGTGAGGGCTGTGTTGTTTCAGATTGGGGATGATTGACAAGGCGCGGAGGCATTTCACCCAGGCAGGTCATCTTCAGCAGTCTGACCCCGCCGAGTGGCAGAAGCTGCAGGAGGTCGAGGTGCATCTGGGAAGATGCACAGATGCAAGGAAAATTGGGGATTGGAAGAGCACGCTGAGGGAGGCTGATGCTGCCATTGCTGCTGGCGCTGACTCCTCTCAGTTGGTAATGGCTTCCTCATGGTTTATGTTTTGATGGAGTGCTGGAAGTGTTGCTATATTGTTTTGGTAGTGGAATTTATACTGACATCGTGCTTTCCATGCAGCTTCTTGCCTTGAGGTCAGAAGCACTTCTCCGCCTTCACAAGCTGGAGGAGGCTGAGTCGACTCTTGCAAGCTTGCTGAAATTGGATGGTGCATTGCCCTCATCATTGACAGCAGCAAAACTCTCGGGGATGCTCGCTGAGTCATACGTACATATTGTTCGAGCGCAGGTTGACATGGCATTGGGGAGGTGTGATTATCTAAACTTGATATAATACCCAATTTTCCATGATGCTGGGTCAAAATCAGGTTAGCACTAAGAGTTATTATTGGTCTATGCAGGTTTGATACTGCTGTTGCTGCAGCTGAGAAGGCTAGAGATCTTGATCCTGGGAATGCAGAAATCGGGATGGTTTTGAATAATGTGAGACTAGTTGCAAAAGCCAGAGAGCAAGGGAATGATCTCTTTAAAGTTGCCAAGTTTTCAGATGCATCCATGGCCTATGGTGAAGGGCTCAAGTATGATCCCTCAAATTCAGTGCTCCATTGCAATCGAGCTGCTTGCTGGTCAAAGCTAGAAAAGTGGGAAAAAGCTGTTGACGACTGCAATGAGGCACTAAGAATACAGCCAAACTATACAAAGGCTCTCTTAAGGCGAGCTGCATCCTATGCTAAGGTAAGCAATGAGCATGCACATGTAATTTTTTTTGCTCTTTGTAATGTTCCATTGACATTGTATAATTTTATTCAGCTTGAACGTTGGGTGGACTGCGTGCGGGACTATGAGGTGCTTCGGAAGGAGCTTCCCAGTGACAAGGAGGTTGCTGAGGCATTGTTCCATGCACAAATTGCCTTGAAGGCGACTCGTGGTGAGGATGTATCAAATATGAAGTTTGGAGGAGAGGTAGAGATAGTTTCCAATGTAGAGCAACTCCGTGCTGCCATAAGTTCACCTGGTGAGTTATTCTCTGCTACCTCTCTCTCTGCTGGTTCACAATTCATAATGAGATTTACTCGGTTTTTAGTATGTCAGAATGGCTTGCACTGCCTTGTTTACATTGTCTTTTATTGTCATATACACAATATGGTCTCTGTGTGACTTATCGCTTGTGTTTCTTCAGGGGTATCTGTTGTCTACTTCATGTCGGCAATGAATCAGCAATGCACACAAATTACACCATCGGTCAACACTCTATGCACTGAATGCCCCTCGGTGAATTTTCTCAAGGTAAGCTACTGAATTCGTCATGCTCCAGGAACCCTGGTAGCCAATTACAGGTACGAAGGATTTCTAAATGATGACTAACAAGTACTATCTTCTGTACAACCCAACAGGTTAACGTCGACAGCAGCCCAATGGTGGCAAAGGCAGAGAACGTGCGGATAGTCCCGACGTTCAAGATATACAAAGAAGGGGTGAAAGTGAAGGAGATGATCTGCCCGAGCTTGCATGTTCTACGCTACTCCGTGCGGCACTATTCTGTATCCAGTTCTTGAGAAGCTTTGGGTACCCGTACCCCAATTTCCCATTTTCGCTAATGCATAGAGCTCCCGGTCAAACTTGCAACATTACCAGCCTCCAGAGCATTTTCACCACCTGCATAACTATTCTCCATTGAGCATGAGCATAACGAGCTAAGACTGTCAGGTGGAAGAGCCCCCCAATTCCCCATCTTCTGTCGTTTTCGCCTCTTCACCGTTCATATACCGACCCATTCAATTCAATAGCTTTTTTCATGTTTCGGGCTCGCTTCACCTCATTTTGTATTTTGATACTCCATTTTGATTCACCCCATCATAGTCCATAGGCCATCACCCTGCTTCTCAAGAAAAAGGGGAAATGTTTGTAATGTCGTCTTTAGGTATACCATCTATCCTTTTGGGGGGGGCTGGTGGTTGCAGTTTTCGTTACATGTAAATATCCTATAGGAAAAGCAGGAGAGAAATCCATTGGAAGATTGGTTCCCTGGAGAAAAGAGAAATGGTGGCATCAGATTGAGATGAGATTTTGGTGGTTGGGGTCAGGTACAGGGCTAGTAGTTGTTTTGAGTTTCCATTAGAGTCTTTATCTATCTATCTATCTTTAGAGGGAGAGAGAGAGAGAGGTGTTAAGTTTAACTGATGATGCAGAGATGGTTGGTGTCCATGGAAGATGATGACATGTCGTTTTGCTGCTTCTGTTATTTTTAAATGGCGCTGATACCATATATGCTACCATTTCCATGAATAAAACATTGCAACATTCGTTCGTTTTTTTGGGTTCTTTCTCCAATCTGTCAGTTAATCATCTCTCAGCTGTTGTGATGTCCTTGCCCGTATTGATAATGGTATCTGCTCTCAGTCGCAGCTGGGATTCTAGTTGTATCATGCTACAGTATCTGTGTCTGCAGGGTTTGGTATGTGTTGGCTGGCTGTGTTTATGATGACCCACCTGATCATTGTCTGAGCTGGGATCTTAAAAGGTAAATGTGGTGGCTTGTTCCTATCAAGCCACTCGGCTAGGGGAGGGAGGAGGAAGAAGACGGCAGCGGCAGGATGCGCTGGTCCCTTCCGTTGTGTGGTGGTGTGGTCAGGCTGCGTGTGTGTGTGTGCGCGCTTGCGTGGCAACGTGACTGGCAGGGAGCGTAGGGACGAGAGAGAAACAGATCGCGTGGCGCGCCTCCCGACGTGCTTAGGAGTGAGAGAAAGCAGAGACTTTGTTACCCTAGCCCTCTCTAGGCTCTAGGACCTATTGCTACAGGAATAGTAGGCGTACAACTTGGGAAAGCCACGAGCCCACGACCATAAAACAATCGTGGATTGTGGATTATTTACTGATGGCTGGTTTGGTATGAGAGAAAAATACTGTTTTTGGCTGAAAATTTACGACTGTTTATGATCCAGCGAACAGGCTAAAAACCGTCGGTACTCTTCTGGCCAGAGGGGAGACGATTTTAGATTTAGGGGGTGTTTAGTTCGAGCTATTAAATTTTTAGTAGTTATTAAATGGTTTAGTCATGTTTGGTTAAAAAATTACTAAAGTGACTAAAAGCTACTAAATTTAGTAGCTACTAGGCGAACCAAACATGCCCTTAGTGTAAAACAAGCTATTTTAATTTTGATTTAGAATTTCAATTGAAATTTTGCAAATTTTTGTCCTAGTGACCACAAAATTTTTGGTCCTACCGATGACCTCCGGTATATACAGGTAGTTCTGTTTTTTTATTTGGATCAGATTTATTTAAGATTTTTGTATAGTTTTGAAAATTCCGGTTGGAATTTTCAGTGTTTTTTTTCGTGATTTACGTTCGTACCGATCCTCTTCGGTATTCATACATAACTGGTAGTCGCCCTGTTCGCTTGGCTTATAAGTCTTATTTTTTTAACCAACGAACAATATTTTTATCTCACAACAAATCAGCTAACAATACTTTCGGCCATGGTTTATCAGTCAAGCGAACAGGCCAAGTGTTCTATACAAGTTTAATCAGGTTTAAAATAGTTTATTAAGTTGAACCAAATTAGAAATGCATTCTCTGTGGGATAGAGGTAAGTATGTTAGAGCGAGGGAGTATAGTAGGACTAGGAGAATTGAAAAAAACTATTTTGGTTTATTATTTTGTTTTTTTTTTCGTGTTGATGAGGGGGGTGATGAACGAACCCAACGATGAGATCTGGGATACAGGCTGGCTGGCTGAGCTGGCCCCGTTTCAATGGGGATGGGTGGGTGCAGTTCACATCCTCATTCATTGCTCTCATTCAATCGGATTCAAATGGAGCGTCCCTTTCCTTTGCTTGTTTCACTCCCTCCTCGCTGACCCGTAGACCATACCATAAGCAGCACGCTGGCTGCACACTTCAACCAGATCCGGCAGGATCTACAAAGTTTTTCCCCCCTTTTTTCCTCTGGTAGCCGCCAACGAATACCACCTCCCCCTTCATCCAAAGAAAAACACGGGGACTTGGAATGGATGGATGGAACAGTTCCCGTGGCTTGGTGTTGGTGTATTCCTGTTACTGTTAGCCTGTAGGCGGCCCGTTAGGACTTGTTGGGCGAATGGGACCTGCACTTTACAGTACGTGTACGTTGCTCCAGGTGCCCATTCTCACTTGGCCGTTGTTTTGTTCCCTTGCCGATCCGGCCACCCAAAGAAATGTCAAAGCTAAGCCCATCGCCATCGATGTGTGTGTGGTCCGTGTGTGCACCGTAAGGAGGGCGGTCGCCATTGCTGTGGTAGAGTAACAAAGAGTATGGGTACATGTTGGGGAGGTACGACGCTAGGCATTGGTTGCCTCGCATTGATCCTGTTTTTCAGCACTACTTCACAGTGTTTTTTTCTCACAAGAAATGTTTTCAGCACTATGTCACAGTGTTTTACTTTCACAAGAAATCAGCATCAGCCAAAATTCAGCCAAACGAATAGGACCATTGTCCGCTCTGGTCCTCCTCCCCTTGCATTGCCTGCTTATTGCATTGCCGGCTTATATCTTAGGCCCCGCCCATTTGGCACGGATCCAGGCAGCTCCGGCTCCCACTTGCAAAAATACTATAGCGCAATGTGTTGACGCGAAGATCGGGCGCACACAAGGGAGTGTTCGGCTAGTCTTATCAGCCAGCTTATTCACTGGCTTATAAGCCATGGTACAATATTTTTCTCTCTTAAAAAATCAGCCATACGAATCAGCACCAGCGGCTTTACAGCCAGCCGAACACTCCCCAAGGTAGGGCTAGATCGTCCGGGTCGGTACGGATCGAAGAATGCAGCAGATAACTATCACACTTACGTGGTGAAGAACAGAGATGTTTACTAGCAAACCACCAAAGGGTAACCAATTACTTACGTGATGAACGACTAGTTTACGAGCAAACTAGCAAAGAAACTATTGAAGCTCTCGCCTGGAAGGGACCCCGTCCTTGGGAGCGACCCCATCGGGGTAAGGACATCGCCGAGTTGCCATTGGCAAGCGGACGCCATCCTTAGTCGTTGAATCAAGGGATGAACAACAATATGGGGGTTGGAAGAGATTAGGCAAAATGAGATAGTAGTATAGATGTAAAAAAGATGACTGGATTGTTGGATATCTCAATCGGCCATGTATCATGTATTTTATAGGGAGTAGGGCGGTGGAAAACCAATATGGTACTATTATTACGTCGCTTTATACAATTTTTCTTAGATTGATCAACAACTAATCATGGGCCTCTTAAAATTGGCCTGAGCCCAATTTGAATGTTAACACACTGTTCATTTCTCTCTCTTCCCTCACCTATCCGTGCCAAAAGGGGCCTTAATAACTGCTCGCTCACTTTGGGTAGTCAATCCAATCTTGTAGGATCGGTGACCCAGAGGATCTGCCATTTGTGTTCGTTGTTTTACTAGCAGATGCCGTGCGTTGCTATGGGAGATTCAAAACTTTCAAATACAATAAGTGTACAGAAAAAATAGTGGATCAAAATGAACAGCCAACAAAAAAAGTCAGCTTCATAACATACTATTTTGGGCCACATTTAAATAAAGAATCATCAATTTTAATAACATTGTCAAAACAACCACAATTAGAATATTTGATTTTTGCAATAATCATAGAGAAGTATCCTTACAAATCTAATCATATTTCATAGATAATGTTGCAACCAGTTACAGCTAGCCATATACCACTCTCAGTCAAAAGTGCAAATCGATCCTTCTCAGAAGTCAGAACACATCACCTGGCTACTTGCACAACAAAATTATTTTGTAGCTTAGGTAACACTGCAATCTACAGCTTCCTCGAGGGCTAGTCTGAAATTTAGAACCACAACGTTGAATAGAATCAGGTAAAGAAATCAGCATAAACAGAAAACTACATGGATGCGTCTTTTTAGCTACCAGATGGTCTTTTAATGTGTCAGCCCTATGCTCCTATTTATGGATGGAAACGGATCAAATACGCATAGAATCCGATGCGGGTGTCACCTTTTACCACATTTTAATTTGGATGCGTATGCGAATACAAATACAAGATGAATGGTTTGAATGTGGATCCGCATTCAGATATTTACTCAATCCAAGTCGAAGAGAATATCGGTAAATTCATCTGAGACAATCAAAATTCTAGTGCTAAGTTCATCGATAACCCAAGTGGACTAAAATCAAAGTACACTACTAATAATATCTCAGATCCAAGTGAACAAAAATCATAAGATCAAGTGAAGTAAATCCAAACAACAAAAGCAGTCAGCAGCACCTCCCAACAGCCAACGGTACGTGACACTGAATAGGTCTACACTAAGTTTGCCGATCAAGGTACATGACATTAAGCTTGCTGATCAAAGCACAAGACATTGAGCTCATATAAGTGAAGTACTGAACCAATAAAATTAAGCAGCAGTAGGCAATGGCACACCTAACAGTAGGCAGGAGAACAAGCCATGAGGCACCTCTGCTCGCCTACAATAAAATGGTGAGATATGACCATAAAAAATGATAGGAGATCATAAGAATTGACACAGATTAGATATTGAATTCACGTGTACA